TCAGGCAAAAGACGAGTCAAGTGCAAGCTGCAAGTTAGAAGTTTTACATTTTACATCTCTTAAAGATGTTTCACACACACACACATACCCTCCCGCAGGAGGGTGGAAAATTAAGGTCCCGACCATGAACTGATAATGAAAAAGAGAGGAATGAAAATGAGATGAAAATGAAAATGACGAGATGAAAAAATACTTAGCCAGGACGCGAAGAGGGGAACGCAAAAGAAGAGGGAAGGAGAAAACACCAACACATGAAACCTAGCCCAAAACGGGCAACCCTGAAAAGGCAAGGGAAAAGAAAAGCGGAGGCAGACGGACAGGGGACAAGACCAGCGGAGGGGGAAAAAGGACGGACGCGCCTGAACCAACCTACCGCAGCGAAACCTACACCTACCTAAGCACGCGCAGAACACAACCTACCTGTAGAGAGGAGAACGCAAGAACACATGAGATAAGGAACCCATAGGGGACTAGTTGATGAAGATGCATCCACATTAGCATGCAGATTCCCCTCGTTGAGGCTCAATGGCCAGAGTTCAGATCAACCCTATAGACAGCTGAAGTAGTCAACCCCTGAGATACGTGCACAATTGAACCTCACCAAAGTAACCAAAAGGAAGTGACCACACCTGGAAAGCATGTCCTATTGCCTGAAGTCTCATGTAAAAGGGCTGTGGACAGTCTCTTGAAATAACGGGAAGGTTGTTGGCGCAGCTTCAGGCTACAGACTCTCGACAGCACTGAAAATGGAGATCCCCCCAACAGCGGGCAGTTGTTCAACCAAGTGACTTCGACAGGGTGAGAATCGAAAAATGGCCAGCAGTTCACTTTACTTAGACGAATTACCAATTCAAAAATTTAAATTCAGAGATCGTTTCAACGTGTCAAACTTTCGCCTGGAAAGGCTTTCTCCGAGGGGTTCATACCACCTTGACCAAACCGGTATGAAGTACACACTTGCTCAGAAATAGCTTATCGAATTATTGATGTGGAATGCATCGTACGTGCAAAAACGCCTCAGTTAAACCTGACAGGAAAGGATTGATGACACGATCTGAGAAAGATCGAAAAGTAATCCCTGTTTGGCCTCAGCTAGAAGCAACTGTTCCATCTGAAATAGTCGGCAGTAGTTCAGATTGCGAGAACCGTGCAAACGAGGAAAATAAAAACAAATTGTTTGGAAACGGCAAGGTGGTTTTTGGGTTAGCGGTTAGCAGAAATTTGACAAACAGAAATGGCAGGTACGCTGGGTTGATCAGACCAGTATCCCATGATTGTGGTAGCTTCGTTCAGTGCGGTCCCACAATCATGCCGCACTCCCCTGCCTCTGCTGAAATTCAAATTGAAACCTTTGCTGAAATTCAGGTTGAAAACCAAACGAAGTTAAGAACCTCAGGCAAAAGACGTGACGAGTCAAGTGCAAGTTAGAAGTTTTACATCTCTTCAGATGTTTCACACACACACACGGCAAATTCCCAATTGCCACAGCCAAAGACCAAGCCGAGCCCAACAGTGTGAAGGGTTGAAGTCAACGTACCCATGTACCAATGTACACAATGTACCAGATACCAGCTACTCAGCGACTTAGTGGCTGTATGGAACAGTAAGTATCAGTAACAGTCTCTTTTGCTGCTGCTACAAAATCTCGCAGCCACTCTTTCAAATTTCTTTCTTTGGACATAACAGACATAACATAGACTAGACTTGACTAGACATAAACAAAACATTCCCATTCCCATCTTCTTTTTCAAAAAATTCTCTTTCAAACTAACCTCTTTGCCTCTTTGCCTTCAATTCCTATTCCCGCGGGGACATTTCACTTGTCGGCTGCCGGGGCTATGCCGCTAGGCAGCTTGAATTGGTAACTGAGCATTGGTCTCCTGTTGAACAGACGATTTAACTCACGCCCTGTAAATTTGTACCAGGAAGCCCATGTAACAGGTAGCAGGTAGCAGATATCGAATATATCTGCAAGACAAAAAGGGCCAAAATGCCTCTGTCCAAATAACTGACTATAGAGTGAAGTTATAGTGAAAGTGAAAGCATCCATTCCAGCCAGATTCCAGATCTTAAAGTCCTAAAGTCCTAAAGTCTGCCTAAAACTCTAAAATCTAAAACTAAAATCACTAGATTTTTTTTGAAGTCCAACAAAAAATGTAAAAACTTGTTTTGGAAAAAACATGTACAATGTACAATGTACAGTGTGCAATGTACAATGTACAACAAAAAAAGCAAAACAAAAAGCAGCAAATCAATTAAGAAATTCTAAGGGAATGTGGCCTGGTAGGTATTCACAGCATTTCTTGCTGCTCAAACATTTTTTGTTTCTCAATATGCTTTGCCCAGCCTTGCATGGCAGCCCTGGCATGTCTATGATTCAAGGAGGGCCGGGGTCCTGGGCCCTGGGCTTTAAATAGCAAAGTCTAAGAGAGCCTGGGTTAGCTTTGGAATCTTAGATTCTTAGAGCCTTTGAGGAAGCAGTTTGACTGGTGCTGCTAATAATAGCTGTTAGCAGTTTGCATCTAATTTATTCTTTAATATCTTGCAATTTCTCTGTTGCTTCTGCTTTCCTGCCTTAAAGCAGCCTTATGCCTTAGCCTTAGTGCACTTTTGAAATTTTTGTTACTTACTGTTACTTATACTTGCTAGTTTTGTGACCATCTTGCTTTGAAAAAAATCATTCTTACTTATGTTTGCAATGGCAATTTTGAAGGACATGATGTTTTCTGATTTGGATTTTATCATTGGTAGAATAGAAGGAATAGGTTTTTGCTCCATGTTCTTCTTGCTTGCTGCTGGTAATTTGAATATTTGTTTGCATGAGGCCAGGTATTTGCTTTTGCAACCAAATACAGATTAAGATTTGAAGTTTTGCTTCTTATATGTTCCTTTTGCCTTTGCTTGTGTATTTTGTTTTGTTTTTTTTGTTTTTTTTTTACTTTTTTTTTGCATTTTTTTTGTTTTTTTTTGCTTTTTTTTTGCTTTTGGATTTGTTTTTTTTTTTTGGGTTGCTTTTTTGATTTACATTTTTTTCACATTTTTTGCGGAAAAAAAATATTCCATGGTTTTATAGGATCTGGCTGGAAGCGGTGAACATAAAGATGGCCCATTGAAATAGATGGTTTACCTATGTTTACCTATTAATAGCATGGTGATTTTCCATGGCTATGTTAAATAACCAGAGGGTAACTTGAACAGAATAGATCGAATTTCAGGGAGTGATGGAACGAAACATCTCAAAACTGTTAAAAAACAAGATGCAGCCCACGAACCCGAATGCTCACACGTAAGATAACGAACCCCTGAGATCAGAGTTGTGCAAAAATGGAACCCAGAGCATTAGTAGCAAAAGAAGCTGTGCAGAGCAGGCAGCATGAAGCGTGAAGCATAAAGACGGATGTAATGCTTGAAGTGTAAAGGCAAAGTGTGGACTGCTCACACCTTTTTTCCAGTTTCGACAATGTTTGGAGGGGTTCAGGGTTCGTCTGTGCACGTCAAAAGTGGGTCGTCTGTGCACGTCAGACGGTTGGTCGTCTGTGCACGTTTTTGTTGTGTGCTTTTGTCATTGTATCTCTGTAACATGATTCTTCTTCTAGCTTTTTTTAAAACATCATCACACAACTCATCAAGTTATGGTTTTTTTCCTCACATCTCTGTGTGGGGCTTTTGTTTTTAGGTTTGTATTCCTTGCCTTCTCCTCCTTCTCCTCCTGAGTTGCTTCTTTCTCTCTCAACTTCACTCAAGTTGTCTCACACAATGCATTAACTCACCCCACCCCACCGGTAACTGATCATGAAAGAGCTGTGCCTGTCTCTGCTCTACGGGAAGAAAGATGATGAGGTTGCTGTGCCTGTGTGTGCATAGGAACATGAACGTTATCATCCCACCCCACCCCACCGGTAACTGATCATGAAAGAGCTGTGCCTGTCTCTTCTAAACAGCAAGAAAGATGATGAGGTTGCTGTGCCTGTGTGTGCATAGGAACATGAACGTTATCATCCCACCCCACCCCACCCACCCCAACCAAACCCGAAATGGCTGGTTCCCAGCATCAATGTGCGCGGATGACCGCTCTTTGTGCGCGGATGACGCGGTTTCTCTGTGCGCGGATGACTCGTTTGCAATGTGCGCAGATGACTCGCTTTCAATGTGCGCAGATGACGCGTTGACCGTTTGGAGGTGCCAGGCCGCCGTCATGTAGATTCCTGACAGATAAGACATGCTGTTTAAAAGGAGCAAAATTCAGATGTGGGGACATCGCCGCATATCGCCGCCAACTGGAGGAAAACCAGAGACTCGAGACGAGACATGTTGGAGCATCAAAACGAGCATTTCGTGGGAGACTTCCTCCAATTTTCACACCTTGTAGCTTCAAAATTGATGTTTTCCGACAAGTTTTTCTAACGAACCCTAAACTCAGCTAGCTGCTAGCTCAAAATCGATGTTTCGTGTGAGGCATTTGTCAATTTTCAGCACATCTCACAAATGCCACGCCTCCCACGGAATTTGCACCTTGTCACCACTTGACGCAGACCTGACAATGCGATTCGCAAAAAACACGCAACATGACACGTCTTAAGTGCTGAGCCTGCCACACAAAATGAACGATGATGGTCTGGAATGGTCTGGAAAATACTGCGCCTGCCACGAAACATGCAACGCATCTTCTGAAAACGTTGCAAAAGTATTGCGCCTGCCGCACAAGACGACTTTCGACACGTTACCAAACACGTCTGAATGTCACGAAGTGCCACGCCTGCCAGGCGAAACGAAGCTACGCTGGAAACCTCCAAAAGTGATCCCTTTTGCAGAACTCACCAAAGGATCCAAAGGCACGGCCATAGCCCTCACGCGGACGGTTGCGGACGGTTGCGGACGGTTGCGCAACGTCTCGCGAACATAGCCTCAACCCCCAGACCCCCAGAGTGAAACGGGAACCCTTGCTACGCATTCGGGAAAGACCCTCCCAACTGGCTGTTTTCGTTGTCCATGTCCTGCAGGGACTGCACCATCGAGAACGCTGTGAAGAAATTAGCCCTTGCCTATGGCACCTTGGATCCAAAAGGGCAACCCCTTGAGAGGCACCAAAGTTTCCTCCCATGCAGTTTGGCATTGTTTTTTTCAAATCAGACAACACCTTTTGGTGGTGAGTAGGGGCCACAGTGTCCCGGCAATTCTGTTTTTTCGTGTGTTTCCGTATGCTGAACGATGACCTATCCCATAGGATCCATGTACTAGTATGGTATATATGCTAACATTTGGGGTGTATTGATGGTAAATGTTACCATATATACCGTACATGGATCCTATGGGTATGATCACCTGCATTTCTTGGGCGGGAACAATCTTCATCTTGCTACCCTTGAGACAGGGATAGTGTGATCAAAATTGGTTTGGAGTTCTGAGAAACTGGCCGGTTTCCACAAAAAAAAGAACATTCAGATACACTCAGATCATTTTCAGCGATGCCATCACAACCCCCGAATTTTGGAGATGATGATCGCTCCTTTGACCAATAATTAAGAACTATAGACCACTGCAACAGCAGTGCCATGTAGTGCCTGTTGCCCCCGAGGCAACGTCTTTGAAGAGTTTTGCGCCGACAAGAGTCTCAAGAAGATGAGGTCTGGGTCAGTTCTAAATGGGCTGGCGGTCCTTGATGGTCCGCGGCTCCAGGAGCTGGGGTCTTTTGTATGTTCAGATGGATTGAGAAGCCAGTCCAGTGGTGTGAAGTAGCTATTTGTGTCACCCCACTTCTTGCAGTGCTCACTGGAATCCATTATATAGTTCATCACATTCAAATATTGTGAGCCAATCTGAACTACTCAGTCATAGCATGTCATAACTTGGAGCAGGGCCCTTCATGTTTCAGGCGTTTGTCTGCCCTCCATGCCGACATGTTTCGCATTCAGGTTGTTGCCTATCAGTGGCGGCATTTTCAGCGGACCTTTCAAGGACGTGAGCGTCTTAGTTCCCCATATCTTGGTGAAAAGAAGGTTTCCCATATCTTGGTGAATTATTTTGGTGAATGATTGAAATATGGGATCATATTTCCATGATTTCAAGATTATTTCCATCAGAATTCACCAGAATTCATCAGAATTCACCAGAATTATATATTTGGATATATTTGGGATGATGAGCCCCACCCCCAGATTTTGGTCCCTGATGTTGGACACGACGCTGAGCTGCTCGGTAAAGCTCAGTAGCTTCAAGCAGCACAAGAACTCAAGAACTCAACTAATAGCCGATGGCTATTTAATATAGCTATCGAAAATCATGATTTACATTGATTTACATGATTTATGATGATTTACCCGTATATATATATATATATACATAAGACATTAAGAGGCCATTCTCCATGCCATATAGCTATGTTAAATAACCAGAAAGTAACCGATTTGTTGAACAGGTTCCACTCCTGAATAGGCGTCGACAAGATTGAAGGACGGGCAGTGGCTGGTTATATATATATATATATATGTAGTGCAATGTGGATGGGTTCCAATTTAACCTCTAAATACCAGGATGGAATTGAATTATGCATATGAACACACCCACGGGCACACACGCATCAACTTGTCGATGTAAATATAATCTACACATTACACCTTTAATCACATTTCAGTATGAAGTGGGACGCACCATCAAGCGACCATCAAGGATCCCAAAAACCATGGGGATAGGGTTGCAGCCCTTTCGGATAGAAATCTCCAACGCTGGTTTGCTTATGCTCCCTTTTGGTTGGCTATAGTGGCAATTGAAGCATTGTAACAAAAAAGCTGGTTAACATGGTGTCCAATTGATGGATCTTCCCAGTTTATCTACCCAGAAATGGGGAGGCAGTCACAAATTGAGTTCCCCAACCACATGATAGTTACTGGTACTGTGTTTTATGTTATTTAAAGTGAGATTTCCAGCTGTAGACTCAACATGCTAAGGATCTGCCGGAAATAACTGCAAAGGCAGTACAGGTGGTGGAACAGAACGGAGAGCGGGGCGGTGTGGGGATCTTGTGATGCGATTTTTGGCGCGGTTCACAATTTCACAAAGTGCGAAGACAACATAATCAGAAGTGAAAACATGCGAGGTCTACACTAATTTCATCTCGTGTGCAAATTCATGTTGTTGAATAATATAACTTGGTCATCTCTTGTAACTTTTAGGAACATCATTTAAAAAGGGTAATCTTCCAGCGCACCAGGTTAGATTGTCTTGGATTTCGGGTGCTTAACTTGACATGCCAAACTTTCATTAATACTGGGAGGGGCTGTGCGGGGCGGCTGTGGTGACATAGGTTACATATGCCCAACGGATGGACAAATCCCAAATAGCTAGATTGGGTAAGTATTGTTATGCGCAAACACCCCGTGTCGCCCACACCCCTTCTATGCTGTACACTTGGGGATATCAAACGTTAGACTTTACATTCAATCGGGAAGATCAACAAGGGTATTTAGGCAATATAAATTTCCCACCCCCGTTAAACTTCTACATTCATTGAAGATCTTCAATAAGGGTTTAATTCTCCCACCCCCGATAAACTTTTCATTCGTTGAAGATCTTCAATAAGGGTTAATTCTCCCACCCCCGATAAACTTTACATTCGTTGAAGATCTTCAATAAGGGTTTAATTCTCCCACCCCCGTTAAACTTCTACATTCATTGAAGATCTTCAATAAGGGTTTGATGATGATGATGATGATGATGATGATGTGTAAGAGACTCGCACAGGTGCCTATGCTGTGCGTGCCGATATACAACATGAAGTTAGCCATGATGCAAAAAACTCCTATTTTTACCACGTTTTCAGCACATACGAAGATGGCCGCCGACAAGCGCGGGCAATTGTTACTGTAAGAAAATACCGCACATATTGTTACTTGCTGTTACTTGTGTTTATCCAATGCTTATGGATAAGTACTGGTAAGCATTGGAGAAGCATAGTCATGCATAATCTAAATGGGCACCGGCATGCCAACTATCTAGGGGGCTTCGGACTTAAGGCAGTTCATTGTTAGCAAGCCTTGGGCCTTGATCAGCTCAGTTCTCCTGGAGAGGCGGCTTATGATGCGCTCACAGCGGAGAAGAAGGAACACATCATGCAGTCCAGCATTGAGTCTCTCAGCCATGATGAGCTGCAATTGGCCTGGCTAGGATGGGCTTAGATGCATCCACATTCTGGAACACACCATCATTTCATGGGATACTTAATAATAATGAATGATCATGATATAATATATATATATGTGTGTGTGTGTAAAAATGTCTATATACATATATATATATATATTCTATATTTGCCATGTTTGTCGACTTTTTGGCTGTTTTTCACCAGTGAAACTAGCATCCACGTTTGTTTTTCGGCAGTCCCATCACTACCCCTTTGGCATCATTACTGTCTATAATAAGAGGATCGAACACTTAGCACCATTTTTCCGTGCCATTGCAATCGGGATTAATTTCCCCCGTATACCCTCTGGTAAAGTAACATAACTATGGAAAGACCCACCATTTTTAATGGGTAAATCCACTATTTCAATGGCCATTTTCAATAGCTATTTTGACGTTTACCAGAGGGTAATGAGTTTCATTCACAAGTTAGGGTCGCTCACCCTACCGGGATGGTCGCTCCAGTGATTCAATCATAGGTGGTTAGGATTCACCCGAAAATCGTCCTGGTTAGTGCTGAATAGATGTGCTGAATGAAGAAACATCACTGTTTGGTGGTTTGGTTCACATGACTGGATTATTTCCCATTTCATATATGGGATGTCATCCTTCCCATTGACTGATATTTCTATACATTTCTCAGAAGGGTTGGTCAACCACCACCCAGATCAACAAACCCAAACATCAAAAAAAGATCATCTCAAGGTGGTGAGGCTTCCCCAAGATCCAGATGGATCCAGTGATAGCCCCACCTCAGGATGTGTATCTTTATGGAGCCGGAGTTCAAACTCTTTGCCTCCGCCTTTGGACAATCGCTTCCGCCAGCGGCTCCAGAAGCTGTGGCGGCGGAGTTAAAGGACTGAACCGGTGCTTCCGCCGCAACGCCCTGCCAAAAAAGTCGGAGCAAGAGATGGGGTGGTGAAGATTTTTGGTGTCCAAAAAACGTGGCCATTTTGGATATGGCACAGGTTTTTGAACCATAGAAACCTTTTTTTATCATCATCATGCAGCCTCGTTGCTGGGTAGACCTTGGTGTGGTAGGATCTAGATTTAAAATGATTTACCCTCTGGATCCCTCTGGTAAACTAACATAACTATGGAAAATCACCATGCTATTAATGGGAAGACTCACTATTTCAATGGCCATTTTCAATAGCTATTTTGACATAACCAGAGGGTAAGAACCATGACAAGCAAAACTTCCATGGTTTCTGGAAAGCTTCCTTTTTACGTGGGGATTTTGCCTTTGGTTGTCCGACAGAGGCGACAGCACCTGACAATGTTCCCGACCTGAAGTTGGAGTGCCGGACCTGAGATGGGGACTGGCAGTGGGACCCCATCCTCAGATGGGTGAATTAGTGTAAGTTATCCAGTGATATAGTTGGTTCATGTTGGTTAATGTTGGTTAATGTTACCTATTATATCCCTATAATTTATGGTGAATCATTGGAATTTATCATAATTTATCCAGAGCCTTACGCCCAGGTCTGGCGGCCTTATGAATCAGTGCAAGGCTGTGTTGTCAGTGGCGCGGGTGAAACTTTGGCCCAGGGTCCTGGAATGTCATGGAAAAATCTGGAATGCCGGGCATGCAATTCACAATCAACCGAGGATTATTATATCATTAAACCCAGAGGATTTGGATATTTAAGTCATTTTCAGTCATATACAGATAGCATACCCTCTGGTGAACTAACATAGCAATGGAAAATGGCCATTTATAGTGGATTTTCCCATAAAAAATGGTGATTTTCCATAGCTATGTTAGTTCACCAAAGGGTAGCATATTCAAGTTCATCTAACATACCAAGGTTCATCGGTTCACCACCAGGACCATACTTTTCCCAGGGCCCCAGCGCGGGGCAGAGCAGCGTCATCCTGATGCTGGACATCTTCCTTTCGGTGTCCCACCTGAAAGCGGGCGCCGCCTTTCAGGAGACCGGAATCCGCTGAGATTTGACATGGGATGTCTAGTATGCCACACACACACACACATATATATATATACACATATACATAAATGTATAATGATATCTATCTGTCTGTCTGTCTATCTATCTGTCTGTCTATCTATCTTTCCATCCATCCATCTATCTATCTATCTGTCTGTCTGTCTATCTATCTGTCTATCTATCTGTCTGTCTATCTATCTGTCTATCTATCCATCCATCCATCTATCTATCTATCTGTCTGTCTGTCTATCTGTCTGTCTATCTATCCATCCATCCATCTATCTATCTATCTATCTGTCTGTCTGTCTGTCTATCTATCTGTCTATCTATCTGTCTATCTATCTATCCATCCATCCATCTATCTATCTATCTGTCTGTCTGTCTGTCTATCTATCTGTCTATCTATCTTTCCATCCATCCATCTATCTATCTATCTGTCTGTCTGTCTATCTATCTGTCTGTCTATCCATCCATCCATCTATCTATCTATCTATCTGTCTGTCTATCTATCTGTCTGTCTATCTATCCATCCATCCATCTATCTATCTATCTGTCTGTCTGTCTGTCTATCTGTCTATCTGTCTATCTATCTGTCTATCTATCTATCCATCCATCCATCTATCTATCTATCTGTCTGTCTGTCTATCTATCTATCTGTCTGTATATCTATCTGTCTATCTATCTACAGTATCCATCCATCCATCTATCTATCTATCTATCTATCTGTCTGTCTGTCTATCTATCTGTCTGTCTATCTATCTGTCTATCTACCTATCCATCCATCCATCTATCTATCTATCTGTCTGTCTGTCTATCTATCTGTCTGTCTATCTATCTGTCTATCTATCTATGCATCCATCCATCTATCTATCTATCTGTCTGTCTGTCTATCTATCTGTCTGTCTATCTATCTATCCATCCATCCATCTATCTATCTATCTATCTGTCTGTCTGTCTGTCTGTCTAACTATCTGTTTGTCTATCTATCTGTCTATCTATCTGTCTGTCTATCTATCTATCTGTCTGTCTGTCTATCTATCTGTCTGTCTATCTATTTGTCTATCTATCTATCTATTTATCTATCTATCTGTCTGTCTGTCTGTCTATCTATCTGTCTGTCTATCTATCTGTCTATCTATCTATGCATCCATCCATCTATCTATCTATCTGTCTGTCTGTCTATCTATCTGTCTGTCTATCTATCTATCCATCCATCCATCTATCTATCTATCTATCTGTCTGTCTGTCTATCTGTCTGTCTATCTATCTATCTGTCTGTCTATCAATCTATCTATCTGTCTATCTATCTATCTATCTATCCATCCATCTATCTATCTATCTGTCTGTCTGTCTATCTATCTGTCTGTCTATCTATCTGTCTATCTATCTATCTATCTATCCATTCATCCATATATCTATCTATCTATCTGTCTGTCTATCTGTCTATCTATCTATCTATCCATTCATCCATATATCTATCTATCTATCTGTCTGTCTGTCTGTCTATCTATCTTTCTATCTATCTATCTATCTATCTATCTATCTATCTATCTATGCGAATAGAGTGTAGGCTACGGACCATTGTATATTATCACATAATTCGACACTCTAGAATCCAGTACCAAAGGGGCATTCCAAACTGGCCTCTTTGGCTCAAGACCCACTGCAGCAACAGAGTAAAGAAACGCCATGCGGAAGCTGCTGCCCGTGTAACGTCATCAACGAAGCATTCACTTCAAATCCAACTACCAGAACATAATCGGGCAAACAACCCCCGATTCGCAGGTTATCAGCCGTATGGCTCTGAGACCATGCTGGTAGGTGGTTAAAAAGCATCCAAAAGGTGCAATACAAACGTGGCAGCCTGCCCTGCTCCAAAAAAAAAGGGGTAAACGGAGGAGGCCGCGCCACCTAGGGCATTCCTTGCAAAAGCAGGGGGGCCAGCTGCTGCATGGCGCCTAACACGAGGGTCAGGTGGCTCACACCCTCGGGCCATGCTGTTGCGCTCCAGGTTTCGGAAGAGGGGGGTGTAGGATCTCTTCAGTGAATCGGTGATTCCATGTGTCTTCCTCTACCTGGTGCATGTTGTGTATCAGCTGGTAGCCCTTAAGGCCAGCGCGTCATTCCACTAGAGGCGGTTCTTTATAACCGTGCTCAGTGGTATGGGTGGGCACAATGTTCATGCCAAAAGGTGGTGAACGTGCGTAACTGCAGGTTATCAGCCGTAGGACTCCTACGGAGCCTACGAGCGGGTAGCCGCGGACCTTACAGATGACTGAACAGGATAGCAGCGATAATGCATTTTCTTTCTCTGGACATGCCGTTGCACCAGCTGCCGGCACGCAGTCAAATTCTTCACAGAGTATCGACACTGGTGGAAGCGATGCCTCAGAACTGAGAGCGAGCCAACCCAGGCGACCTCTGGTTGCTCCTAGAGGGAGACAAATTTCGACAATGCAAGCAATTGAAGATAGGGACAGCACACCTGGAAAGAGAAGATCATCTGCACGACAATTGTCGCCTCCGATGACCCCAAGGACTAAGGCAAAGACTACGTCGTCGAATCCGCCTCCACCGATTCAAGACGCTACTCCATCAGGGACAGGATCTTATCAGCAAGTGAACGCCCCGTCGAGTGGTAGCGACATCTTCACTGCCTATCAGAGTGAATTAGCTGAATACAAGACATCACTGGAAAGGGCCACTGAAGAAGAATCCGTACTTCAGGCAAGATTGAGCGAGACGACAGCATATGCCTATCAACAATTTAATTTCCTGGAAAGCACCACTCATCAAGAGATGATGTCGATGACCGAACAACTCCAGATGCTGAACTTCGAGTTACAGGCTGCACAACAAGAAGATGAAGGTGCGACCTACAGGATCGAAGAGTTGGAAAGGTATCAGACTATGTCGAATGAAGTTGCATCTCATTTGGAATTCAAATATTCACGACTACGTTCGGAATTCGATGAACAAATGGGACAAGCGAGCGCAATCATGGTACATGTGGGCGCTGATGCGAATGCTCACATCAATCAACTCAGACTGGAACTGGAAAACGCAGAGATGAATGCCAAGCAAGAAGCTCTAGCGGTCGGCTACGCTAATGACCAAACATGTGCTTTACAGATCGAGATGCTCGAGGTTGCTAATCAGAACCAGACGATGAAGCACACCATGGCCATGAATGTCAGGCGACTGGAAACTGAGCTCGATGCTGCTGACATGAAGAGGGACGAGATCATGAAGGAGTTCCGTAGTAACATAAGATCTGAACATGACCGTTATGCAGAATGTGAACATCACTTAGCTTTGGAAGAATCGCAACTTCGATTGCAGGTGATCCACAATGAAAACTTACAATCTCGACTAGCGATTTCTGAGAACAGGGTCTCTGAAGAATCTCTAGCTGAATCAGGCGGCATGCGGGACATGAGGATAATGGGACTACGTTCTGAACTACACATGAAACAAAGCCTTTTAGATCGAACGCAACAACAACTGACTGAATCGAAGAATCAGTATCATGAACTTTCCTGTCAACAAGCCAGAAGATCTTCACCAAGCAGATCACCGCATGGAGGACCTCTATACGAGATGTATATGCAAGCCGTGCGTGAGCGTGACAGCTTGAAAGAATCCAAGGCAGAAGTTGACAAGTTGTACTTGCAGAACAGAACTGAACTCATTGACACTGAGGATCTGCTCAAAGTCTTCCAGCGAAACTTCGATGAAACTGGTAAGAAATATCAAGATGCTCTGAACAAGATCGATCACATGAGCAACAACCCGAATGTGACGAGTAACTTGTTCGACAGTTTGCACAATGAACTCAATGACAGGGACACAGCTATTGCTCGCCTTCATACTGAACTTGAAGCCCAAAAGGATTCTCTTGAGCGTGCTCACAGGGATGCAGGTAAGTCCATCAAGATGTTGA